AGAAGCCTGAAACAGCACCTGCTATCAACACAGCTGCTAAAATGTTGTTTCCTTCCTTTCCTTGGGCACTTACGTAAGCTGTCCCTGCCCATCTCCTACAGCAATAGCAGCCTGCCAAAGCCACCAAGGTTTGTGTTGCTCTGTGTGACAACTACTGCAAATAAATTACTGACATAATTTGCATGCTTACATGCCATCCATGGTCAACGTGCAGCAGTGGCTGAGCTAACGCAGAGCTCCTTAAGTCCAAGCACCACTGGCAGAATGGAAGAGAAGATGCTTGGGCTTGTAGAGCAGAGCGCACACAACAGCAGCTCTGCACTGGGGATGGAGGGAGAGAGGGAGGAAGGAGACAGCATGAAGCATGGCTGAGCTGACTATTCTATGACATGTTTCTGTGGGGAGCTGGCAAGACAAGAAAATAGTTGGGTCCAGGACACACATAGAGATGATTAAAGGTCACAGAGAACTACCTAGGAGGAGCTGTCACTTCTAAACCACCCTTTTTACTGCAATTCTGATTACCCTCAAGGCCTGAAGGTGATCAGTTTTGATTCAAAGTTCATGTCACCGTATGGCACAGGAAGGAGGACATAGCTAATGATTCTTCTAAGTCTCAGCTCTTGATATCATTGCTCAGGCCTGGTGTAATCTATCCCCATGTCAGAATAACAGAGTTGACAACTTGCATAGTTCTCAATTTTATTTATGGCATAATCCTGCACAGAAATACAGACAAATACATATTAATGGCTTTAAAAGTAGTTGTCACAGAAAATGCAAGACAGATCTAGCTGTCCATGTATTAAACTTTCCCTTCTTATATCCTTCCCAGAAAATCACAGTCATTTACTGGGAAGCACGTTCCCTTTCTCTCTGCACACCCCCCACCCCCCAAAAGGTCAGTATCCTCAAAGCCTTTCTTCCAGTCCTTCCATCTGGCTACTTGGTGAAATCTAGAGGCATTTGCATTGGTGGCGCAGGACTTAGCACTAGATCTGTCATATATGGTTAAGCTGCTGCTGGGTTAAGCTCCCTTTTTTTATCCTGAGTGGTATTTTCTCTTTGAACTTTAGGATTTTATACAGTGTTTTATCCTTTCAAGTATCTCTACAAATTCTTCATAGGATCTCCAGCACAAGCAGGGCCTTTTTATAACAGAAAGACACAGTAGGTTTCCATGCTTTGCAGTCCCTGTTATATAGCCTACTGCTTCAGCAAGCCCACTAACACTACATTAATTATTTGGAACAGAGCTTATGGTAAAGAAGTCACGGTGGTTTGTTCTGATAGTCAAGCACACCATCAAAAGTCTGATTGCCTACAACAAATCAAGAGAGTTTTATAATGCCCTACTACATGTTTTCATGTGTTGAATGGGGAAATAGTCACAAATTATGAAGGAATAATTACCTTTCTGCTAGCTTGTTTTTAATAGTAAGATAAGTAATATTTAAGTGCAAATGCAAATAGCAATAATAATATGGGTCTCCTAGCGTATCAGATATGTAGCATTCCCTGTGGAAATATGGCAGAGCATTACAATGGGACAAATGAAACACACCCCTCACCAAAACATCAAGGCATTCTACCTGCTCTTCTGCCTAAGAAGGATGACTGGCTAATCTCGGTGCAAATGTACTAAAGTAGCTGCATTTTAAGTTACTAATCTTGTACAACAGCTATCGTTTATCTTTTCTGTGCAAAAGTTTCATGCTGTTGTCCATAACAATTTTGGTCTTAATCTGACTAGATAAACAGGGGTCAGGAAGCAAAAATTAGCAAAGTGCCTTTTAGGGTATACTGATGCAGTGCTCACAAACACTGACTGCTTTCGAATCTTCTGTATCTGTCTGGAGAAACAGGGACTACTAAAGTAATACCACTAGTATTACAGTATTTGACAGTCTGTATCACCTTGCTCTGCAGAAGGTTATATACAGAGCACAGCATGATGCAGTTCAACTTCCAACGCACGGTCTACAGGCTTAAAACATACAGAGACTCACATTGCTCTTTTCAGTGCCAGTAATTAGAGGAGGACAAGTATATTGCCACCTTAACAGACTCGGCAATAAAAAGTAAATCATAGTCTTGTCCATCTCAAGATCTTCTTGAGCCAGTTCCTCATGCAAGTAGCCCTGTACGGCCAAATGGGACCCTTTTTCCAGAGCAGCCTTTGCAAGATGAGTCGTGCTCTGTCACGTTAAGAGAAAAGGAACTTAGCTGGAGCATGCACTAATTTTCATTAACACAGTACAGTCCTCATCTGATGATGTGGGTTTTTTCTCCCCCATTTCTTCTCCCTCTTTCAACTGGTTTCACATGTTTTCCTTCTTCTTTCTCTCTATCCTTCCCTTTTGCATTGTTTTCCTTCTCCTTACGCATACCATTTTTCTCCACCCCATTTTCCCATTTTAACAACCTTCCTTCTCCATCCTGCTTTTCTTTCCCTTTGCCCTCTCTCAGCTCTTTGGAGTACTGCACCTGTGTTTTTCTAATTGTTCCACCAGAAGCAGCTGAATACAGGTGATAAGAAAACTGATAAAAAACACTTAAGAGCTATGCTCCCCCTTGCCTGCACAAAGAGGAATGGCAGATGTGGGCTAAGGAGACAGGCATTAAATGAGTCAAAACTTGCAGTATTCCCGCACACGGGATTTAAATGTCTATAGTTTCCATTAATTAGTGCACACCACCATGAAACTGCTTGTTCTGGTTATTATTTAAGAAGCAGAGTCACATGGTAAACACCTCTGAAAGGCTAAAAGAAGAATAAAATGTTAATAAAAAGTGTGTGTACGTCAGACATTATACTCCGACCAGAATACATCTTTCCATTCCATTCAGAATTCACTAGTCATATTGTTGTCATTTTCATTACAGGAGCAAATACTTGCCCCTGAAACCTACAGGAGTTTTTAATTGTCTTTTTGAAATCTGAGCCCTTAGAAATTGCTTCATTATTTCATCTCCTCAAAACAGTTCTTTCACTGTACTGATTTTGGCCAGGCAGGTCAGCCCCCACCAAAATCCTGGTCCAATCCTTAAAGACAAAACATATTCCCTAGGCCTGCTAGCACATTTAATGTGCTGGCTTGTAAAACTCCTCTGGGCACTTAGAAGCCAGCAACCACAGCACTCAATCTGGGAGTCATGCAGACAACTGCCATGTCTTCAGGTTAAGCGTAAAGGGCTTACACTGGATTGGGTAAATACAATTTATTTCTAGGATTTGAGAAAAGATTTTTCTTATCCTGATAATTCCTGCAAATCTAACTTAAGGGTCCTAGAAATGTTAAGTCTGTACTTTTATACTGAGGGTATCCAGAGCCAAAAATCACAGATTCTTGGTTTGCCCTATCAGCTCAAGGAAAACTGTGTCCACAGACCTTCCAGCATTTTAAAAGAAGCCTGAGGCAATTTCCAGCTGGGTATGGGATGCTTTTAATCCTGCAATCCACTAGCGCTTTCTCCTAGTAAGGACCTGGACCTTCAAGCAAGATACCTGTGTGCCCTGAGACGGCAAGGCCAGGCAATTCTCCAGCAATACACTGAAAAAATTAGGGAAATGGGTTCAAGAGAAATTTGCTTCTTCAATCAAACCCCTCTGAAGACAAGTTCAAGTCACCTCGCTTTTTCTATGTCCCTTCTGTAACGATGCAACTGATGGCTAGGTCTTCAAAAGGCCTACAAGTGTTTAATTATCAGTTACTGTATGGCCCTCATGCATGTATTAGCTGACTGTCATTCATGGAAAGGGATTAGCATTTACTCACTAACTACACACGAAGATTTTGGAAGATACGACCTACAAAGAAAGTTTTGTTCTGTTCCATCCTGGTAACTGATTTCCATGTAACTCTTGATCAGTGAAGTATCTCATATTTAAAAATGTAATTCAAAACTAAAAGGGTGGCATGCACAGATTTCCACTGATCTCAACCTGTACCAGTAAATGCGTTGGTAGAATCTGAGCTGGTAGGAAGCTTCAAGTAGTTTGTAAGGGGATTCACTACAGTAAAGTGTCATTTTCCACATTCCCAGTTGTAGTAACAAGAGCGCCTGGATTCAAAAGACTAAATAGCCTCCTTTGTTTATTATATAATCTGCAAAACTGCAAGCAGAGAGCAACAAGGAAACCACAGATCCTGCCTCTGAGCACTCTGACATGCCCCCTCCCTCAGAGAAGTCTCCCTTCAGGCTCATCACTTTAGTACTCAACCTTTCGTTTCGGCAACTTTTTATCAAATTGCAAAGACCCCCATTTATTATGCTCATATGTACAACCATCTACATCTACAAGTATGTATGTGCTTTGCTGGCTGCCCACATTCAGGCCCATCTGCTAGGCTGGCACTCTGCCCACTGAGAAGTTGGTCGGTCCATTCCACTAAGGCATAACTGTCAAGCCATGATGGGCTTTGGTGGGCAGCCAAGAGCCCTTCTTTCTCCAAGGAGGCAAGCCTCCCAGCACAGCTCAAGTTTGTGTTGCATACCACATGACCATGCTCATTGACACACATACTAAAGCAAAGAAGACTTCAAAGAGGAAAGAAAAGAGGAGAGCTGACTGGTACTTCAGACTGCCATCAAGATCCACTTTGTGGCAGTGATTAACAGTGGACAACTGCTGCTGTGGCTAAGTACAGGCCAGCCACCATTTAACTCTGGCACCAATCAAGTACAACAGGGCAATTGTGAGAAAACTCAATACACATAAATAGCAGGGCAGTTCTGGGAAGCATAAAGGCATATAAAAATGGCCTGCAAAAGGCAGCTCCTTTCACATGTGTGCAGGCTTGGCAAGTAATTACAACTGCCCAGGAATCAGAGGTCAAGATCAGAAAAATCTGCATCAGATCTTCGAGTTCAGCTCAAACCTTTCCAGGAAGGCCATACACACACACACTGCTCCCTCTTCCATTTCTGATCATTACTTTTTCTACTTGCACTGTTTCATCTTTATCACTTGAAGAAAGAGGAGGGTCACAGCTTACTTTGGGGTTTTAATCCTTTAATGGAAAAAATCACATTTCAGAAAAGGTTGTATTATCTTCTTTTCCTTCAGTCACCTGGACTCTGCTTTGGGACCTCTCAATTGGCTCTTCCTCCTGGTTGGAACCAGCTCATCCATCTTACCTGGTGCCAAACATGGTACAAACACAGTTCCACCTTCCTGCACAAGCCAAGATGCACAGTTCAACGAGATCTCACTGTTCAACAGATCTATTCACCTGTAAGGTCTAAGGGCAAAATTATATCAGGCGTTTATTTAAAACAACACGGACAAATTTCACTATAGAGGAGTGTCACCAGTTAAACAAGCCTCCACTCACACCCGCTGCACAAGGAGTCACCATGAGGAGGAAGTTCCAGCTAAACTTTCGAAAAGCTGCAAATAATACCAAAAGACTTCTTTGCTCTTGTTAATTTTCTTCATGTCAGAAAAAATCTTACGTAATGATTCTTACATCACAAAGCAGTTTATAGACATCGCTGGCACACTACATTTTAATTGCTGTTATATCTTTAGACAGCAAAGAGAAAGCAGAGCTTGTCAGCATCAAGAGAAAAGAAAATCAAGTATGCTTCTGAAGTCTGAATTTCATTTTAAGCAAAACAAGCAGAGGCATTCAGACCACTGCATGAGGAAATTCCACATGAATCTTCTACTGCATTTTTGTAGATCTCCACCCCTGGCTCTTCTGACATCTCTTCTAGCTAAGAAGATTAAAAAATCCCAAATCATTTGAGATATTGCATTGCTTCTTGACATCAATCTGGTAGAGGATTTAACTGAAAAGAGCCTTTATTTTTGTACTTTGTACATTATAGGATGGAATTCTTTTAAGTTGTAATCTCTTTTGAATAGTTACAAAAATCTCTGTATTTCCCTTTGCAGGCCGTTCTGCTTATACAGAGCATCCTCATACAAATGCAGCCTCTGTACAATAAAAGATACAGCTCAGGATCTCCCTCTGGATCTTTGTGGCATATGCACAGGTATGTGAACTGTCAGCATTAACTTCTCACATACCCATGATAAATACAGTGGTTACAGGAGGAGAAGATGATGTCACACGTTTAATGGTAAAGGTTTTGCATAGCATACAGGAAGATCATAAAATAATTGCATGCTCTAGCAGCAGTTGTGGATATGCCATGGACAGCTGATACAGTTGTGATCTCTTTCTCTCTTCACTGTTAGGATGAAAATACACTGGGACTGGATTTATGTCATCATAAATGAAAGAAAGATTTAGCCCCATACATTTCAGTCCTGCCTACCTTAATAAGCTTCTGTGCTAGCTGAGCTTCACCTAAAAAATCCACTGCGCAGGCTGGAAGGGCTTACTCTCACTTGTCTTTATGGACGGGCAAGGGTCTAAACGGTAGGTGACAAGGCGCATGGGAAGCTGCAGATCCAACGCTGCATGTGGGCGGACCAGCGCATTGGGTAGCTTGAGTTAGCTCAGGAGCTGACAGTTGTGGTCAGACACTTCCTGATTGCCTAAGCACCCCTTTTTCCAGCTAGATTTGGTCATCGTACTTGTAGTAAGCGTGGTTAAAGCCCTTCCCAAATCTTCGCTCATGAAGCCAAGCCATCACCTTAATAAGCAGCACGGCAAAACCCTGGCTCTACTGAAGTCAGTAGCAAAATAATATTGATTGCATGATATCACCTTGTGACTTCATGGCATTCCAGTTCCGTGGTAACTAAATCCAAACAAGAGGTAGTACTTGAAAGCTTTTCTTAGATATCCATCTCTCTAGAGCTGAGATGGGTTTCTCTGGAGATTTCCAGTTCTGGCATTACTTTCTTCATTAGTGCAACTAGTCTCAGGTTTGTGGATCTCCACACCAGGACACAAAGACCACTGAAATTTCCAAGTTCCTCCAAGTGGTTTGGCATTTCATTTCAGTTGCCACAACTGGTAAACCCTGCCTGTGTTGATTTCTTCACAGGTGATATTCTAGATATCTAGACATCTAGAGAATACAACAGGTATATCTAACTTAAAAACAAATAAAATCATTTACACTTTAATTGGAATTGGAATGATTTAGACCTAAATTGGCACATCTTTCCTGCACTTCCAATGTGTCTTCATTGTAAGTTTTCCAATTTAAGGCAATGTGAGAAGACAGAAGCTTTTTTTGCAAGACCATTAACACCCCCCCCCCCATCCCCAACCAACACTAATATCTGTGGTGATCACAAAATGGTGACTTTTTACAGTTCACAAGATTTTAAAACATACAGATCAATAACCTTCTGCTAAAACTTTCAGATAAAATCCTCATGTTTTTCCAAACACAGTCTCTTTAGTAGCTTCTCTAATGATGTAGGATAGGGAGCTGTTTCATTACACTCTTCCGGGCCATTCCAATCGCTACACACACAATTGACCCCTGTATGTGCCCACTCCATTTTCAGCAGAAGTGTCACACTTGTGCTGTTTGTGCAAGTGGACACAATTTTGAGCACCTGCTCCCAAACGATTATAAATCAAGGAACTTTCATGCTCTGTGAGCCTGAGAAGATATGGTGTTATTAATGATCGCTATTCAAGAAATTTCAGGCTAAGTGACTAAGTGAAGACATCTCTGATGTAAGGCTTTGTTTTGTTTCTAGAAACAGCTGAGTGAGCCACCTTCACTCTCGCTGTTTAACATATTTCTGAGGCTACCACTTCTACGAAATTTCAACTATTTTCATTAGCTTAGCAATAACATCAACTTCCTCTGGGATCAGAAACAATACTGTCATTCCACAGCAACACTCCCGAAAGACATATAGTTTACACACATATTGGGGCATATGAACACTGCTCTTCCTCCTCTATCTGGTTTCAGAAGTGTGAAAAAGCTGGTACAGATCTACAATGCAGGAATTGAAAATGTAAGTAATGTGTCATACTACTACGGGATTTGAAACAATGTAAGAAATGGATGTATATTGCCTGGCAGACCTGATTTGATCAGCAAGCTAATACACTGTGATTTCCTACACAATCTTAACCAACACCCTTTCATCTCAATAGAAGCAGGACCACCTCTGCCAAGAAAAAGTGTCCCAGAGTCAGAGGACTGTTTTTCTGTGCTAGTTACTTGCCTAGGTACACAATGAGTGCAATGCACCCCATGCATGAATACCACCTAATACCGAATTTGAAGATAAAAGGTCTGACTCATCACTCCATTGCACCAGTTCTGTGCCTGCGGGGCTCCATGTTCTTCATTGGTGACTCAGTCCCAAGACTCCCCTCTCTCCAGGAAAAACATGACAAGTCATGCAGTACATGTCAGGCTTACCCATCAACTCTAATTCCCATTTGCACATCAAAACTAATTGGAATGTAACATTCCATACCACTTACATTTTGCTGTTATGCCTAGGATAGGAACATATATAATTAAAGAGCAGCAGTTTAAAACACAGTCATTAGAATTAACCCTGTGTATTTGGCAACACGCTTAAGGGTCCCTGTTTAAGAAAACAGTCCTTGCCAAATGTTAATAGTGTGGGTATGTGCACGCTAAGATTAACAGCACAGAATTAAGGAGAAGGAGATTAGTTACTGGAACAAAAAGTTTCTCCGATTATGTTCTCATTCCAAGATTGCTGCCTTCAATTTCCTAACCCAAAGCTGCTGAAATAGAAGAAACTTTTTGGACAACTGTAAGATAGGCATTGACTATTCCTTCTGAAAGGACACGTTGTGTTTATGATAGCTATTTTTGGCTTTCAGCTATACAAGTATAAAACACTATGAGGCTGATTTTCTTCTCACAGTTTCATGTCAGTATATATTCATTGATTTTAGTGCAATTATATCTGATTATTTACCTGGCATGGAAGTTAGACAGATCAGTGCTGACCCTTATAGGCAATTCTGAATAGGCTTACACAGGGCAAAAAATGATAGGAGGAGATAAACTATCCTACAGTCTCTGACAGTGTACAACTACAGGAATCAAAGAAATCATTAATGAAAGACTAAAGCTTCAAAAGCCAAACAAAACAGAAAAATCTATCTTTCATTTTCCTCTAAACCACAATGGATTGCTATCCTGGAGCTTATCATAATGTACATTGTGCTTTCTTTCCATTTTCTTAGTTACGGGATCAGTAGGCTACCCCAGCACACAGAGAGCACATGTACATTTGTCTTCAGGAGTGGCTCATGGGGTACTTCCCAGAGAGACCTGAAACTATGTGGTTGTGCCTGCATGACTTAGTGCCATCCTTCAGTGCCATACTGGGCACTGGTGCACACAACCAGCAACATGCAGAAAACTGTGTGTGGAAATGATTACACACCATTGGGGAGCCTCATATACTGAGCATTACATTCATGAATTACCCACTTGCCCATGATAACAGTGTGCACACATACGCAATTTTGTATTTACTACTACCACTGCAAGACTACAGCACCTCATTCTGATTACAGTTATAGCTCATTGAGAGGTCAAGTCAGGAGCTGGTATTTTATGTGTGACTTTTTATAGGACAGAAAGATTTATTTTTAAGCATTCAGTTCTTTGAATTTTAACTTCATCTTCTGATAAAGAAAAAACTAAAGTCCAGATAAACCCACAAAAATGTCTGTTGCATTATATACTGACTTTGAATAAATACAGGAACTTGAATGATAATTGCAAGAGTAGGGTGAAACCCAAAAATGTGTCAGTAGGATCATTCTCTTTTGAGGAGCAATATAAAGACATGGACTTAAAATAGACATGGCACTGGCTTTCATCTCATGCTCACTTACCCTTTGACAACCAGAAAACAGCATGAATTAAAAATGTTGCACTCACTACTCTCTACTTGCCACCATTTTATTAGTGAATATGTGCCCAATCATGTGCGTGATCATAGGTGCAGAGACAACCTAGTGCTCAGGTAAAAGTTACAGAAACAGCTCCATAACTATACTAGGTTTAAATCATAGAATCTATGCCATTATCCCCCCACTATTATTAAACTACTACTATACCCCACCAAGAAGAGGAGGAGTAGAGGTATGGCATTCAGAAGTGAAGAATAAGTTACAAAACTTTGAACATAACAAAATGTACTGAAAGCCCACAAGCACCAACTTTGTGATACTGCTTCTTAATTGGTGAACCTCTCATTTTAACATCTGAGACACCAGGAACCATCAAAGATTAACAGATGACACTGACTTCCAGCAATGTTTAAGGTACTATCTAAAAGATCACCAATGCTGACAATGGGATCCAGTGAATAAGTACCAGGCTCAGCTGACTACCACAGCTGTCAGAAATGCCTCATTTCCACAGAATCATGGAATGGCTCAGGTTGGAAGAGACCTTAAAGCTCCCCCAGTTCCAACCCCCCTGCCATGAGCAGGGACACCTTCCACTAGACCAGGTTGCTTCAAGCCCTATTCAACCTGGCCTTGAACACTGCCAGGGATAGGGCAGTCACAGCTTCTCTGGGCAACCTGTGCCAGTGCCTCACCACCTCTTAGTAAAGAACTTCTTAGAGAATCACAGAATGGTTTGGGTTGGAAAGGACCTTAAAATCATCTAGTTCCAACCCCCCTGCCACGTGCACAGACACCTCCCAGGTTGCTTACCCTTTTTCAATTCTAAACCATTTGCTCGTGTCCCATCACGACATGCTACTGGTAGCTACTGGTAGCAGTGGTAGCTACTCCTCAGCATGGGTAGTAGAAGCTAGTTTGGCTGTGACAACTGCGATTTTCACCACCAACTACCAAACTTTGCCAATAAGCCAGTGAACGCACCGGTAAAGGCAACACTTCTGCATTATGGGCATCCTTTCACCCCTTTTCCCTCAGCCAGCCATAGCAGGGGACCGCCACTACCCACCAGGTTCCCTCTCCATGCCAACAGACCCATAGACCTGCTGCATGGTGAGTCTGGGTGGGTCACTGTAAGACAGACACTCACGCACCTGCCAGGGCTGGATCCCGCCCTGAGGATAAACGAGACCTTATTACGACCCCACCGGGGGCAGACACGGAGAGCAGGACGACAACGGGGAGGGGGGGGCCCGGCCCAGGGGTCCCCACCCGTCATCGTCCCCCCCGCTGAGGCCGCCCCACAACACAGGCGCCCCCGTTGTGCCGAGGGGGTAACCCCGTGCGCCCCCCCGCCAGCTGCCCCCCACAGGTAAACGGCAACAGGCGGCGTCCCCTGCCCGGCACCACACACCCGAGATCGCTACCTCAGGAACGCTCTGTGGGCTCCGGCCGCCTGGCTCCCGCCGCTGCCGCTGGGGCGGATCAGCTGATATTTACCTGTGAGGTAATGCACGCTCCGTAAGGTCACCGTGCACCCGCCGGCACACGGTGCCAGGCAGGAGGAGGAGGGACGCCGGGAGCGGGAGTTGCTCCTCCGCCGCCACCACCGCCGCCGCCGCGCACGGCGCCGGAGCGGGGCGGCCGCGCCGCGCAGAGGCAGAGGCGGCCGCTGCCGCTGCAGCTCCTGGCACATGCTGCAGGTGTCAGCGCAGGAGCTGCCCCGCCGCCCGCCCGCCGCGTCCGCCCCCCCCGAGTTGCGCACGCGCAGCCGCCACACCGCGCCGGCGCGCCGCTTCTGCGCAGGCGCGCTTCGGCGGGTGAAGCCGCCGCGAAGCCGCTGCCCGGCCCCGGCGCTCCCCTCGGGGGACGCTTCCCCGCCAGCAGCGCCGCGCGCGCGGGGGAGAGGGAGGGATGACGTAGTGGGGTGTGGGGTTAGGGGCGAGGCTGGGCGGCGGGACGGGGAGTAGCAGCCGGCGTCCCCGGTGCCCCGGGCTGTCCGCTGGGACGCGGGTTCGAGAGGGGGGTGCTTGGACAACCCCCCCTTCCTCCCGGGGTGGTGGCGGGCCGGAGGAGCGGCGCGGCGAGCCAGTGGGGAGGGATGATGTCATCCTGTTCTACCGGGGAGGGGCGGGGCTTCTCCTGGGGCGGGGCGGGCCAGGGGAGGTTGGGGGAACCGGCCCGTCTGAATCCCCGTAGAGCGAGACACCTGCCCGCTCGGAGCTGGGCCGCCCTGGCTGGCTGGGTGTGTGATTGGTTCGGCCTTGCCGGCTGCATTCAGGCTGGAGGAGCCCTTAGGACCCGGGGGCTATCCTTCTCCCACACATAGACAGGTCCCGCAAGCCCGGCGCTGGAGCTGCGGGACTGCAACTTAAGCCCCTTCGCATGCGATGTGATGATGTACTGGGGAAAGAACCTAGTGTTTAAGGCACGGCCAAAGCCTTTCCTTCGCTGTAGGGGTCTGCAGGTGTAGCGGGCTGTGTACGTGCCCAGCTGTAGCAGGGTTGGCTGGCTGCCGGGGAGCACAGGTTGGCGTGTGAGGAGCCCTCTGAGCTCATCGGGTGTAGGAAGCGATGGATAGCAAACGCTGCTGCTCATCCCACTGCTCTCAAAATCGACATATTCCGGTTTGGCGAAGGAATCGAATGTCTCCAGTGCTGAAGTTCTGTGACCCATTTTTTTTCTATCTGGTAAGATAAACCATAGGGATTAACCGTGTAGGTTTGATGCACAGCTACCTGAGAGGAAAATTAGGCACCTTTCAGAGAAACAGCTTAATGTTTCCTTTCATCCATCGTGTGTTACCTGAAAATAAGACATGACCATCTGCATTAGAAATACAACAACATTTTGAAGTTGGGAGGGTTTCTTTCTCTCCAGCTTTCACAGATTTCTCCCATCCACTTGTGAAAACAGTTAACAGTGTGTACAACTTTAGCTATGGTACTCAACCTTGAGCTTGTGTAATGCTTAAGGGTCTGAGTCCAGCCCATCACATGGTGTCAGGAGGTCTGACAGCTTTTGGGATGCTGCTGCATCGGTCCTATTTTGGGTCTGATCTGAAAACAACCTGAGGAGAACCCAGCTCTGACTGGAGAAAATAAGTAGAAAAGTGAAAAGGGAGGAGATTTAATGGTGTTGGAGGTTCAAGTGTGCCATATTAGATAGCTGAGGCATTACACTGCTACCTGCATGCAAATATTTAAAAATCTAATAATCCTCATTTAAAGAGCAGTCTGAGGCGTTGAGCATGGGAGAAACGCATTGCATAGGCAATGCTGGAGTCTCACACAGATGCCCTGTTACACTGCTTTACATTTACTGGTTTCCTCATGATGCTGAAGCAGTGGGAAAGAGGTGAGAAGAGGATGAGAATGTGATTCAGGCATAGTAGATACCACAGAGAGCAGCCCAATAGTACTTTCTGGCTTGGTAAGATGCACTGGGAATGTGGGAGAGATGGAGGGTGTAAGAGGTGACACAACAGCTGAAGTAAGGTGTGAGGTCGTGGAGGACATTTCCCATTGAAATGGGAATGTGAAAGGAGGTGCAGTGGGTGATGGAAAGCCAGCAGGGAAGTCTGCATGTCTGCACGTGATGTCAGCTTGGGAGGTTGATTATTTTGCCAGAGTATAGTAGAAAAATACAGGGGAAAGGCAGTGTCATAGAGGATGAAATGATTGAGACTGCAATAAGGGATTCTGTCAGTGTCACGAAGAGGTAAGGGAAGACTTGGGTTTCAGTGACAGTAACCCTACTGAAAAGGAGTGACACATGAAGGAGAACAGATCACAGGAGAACCTGTCCTTAAAAATCTCAGTTTCTGTCTCACAAGAGAATATACCAGGAGACCTTAATGTTCAGTAGGGATCTAGTTAAGATGTTAATGGGGCTGAGGATGTTCATAGTTCACTGAGTTGTTAACTGGGAGGGCTACCATAAATTGTAGCTTTTGAGGTTTTGTCAGGAAGTGTTGCTTCATTTCTTGAAATTATGGGCTAAATTCATCACTGTTTTAACAGGGCACTAAATTAGTTGCACTTATAGGCAGCTTCACCACAATAAACTGTAATCCTTCATGCCCTAGAACATGCCCTTCCAAGGATAAGTGGCTGAAGCCTGAATGGTTGTCAGACCTGGCTGTGGCAGTATTTGCATGGCAGGAGAAGTAATGTTTTCAAGGGGGAGCGAGACTAGAGTTAGCAGGCCATGTCAACAAACTGTTGTCGCATAGAAGGCAGAATTCCCATAGAACAGTGCTTTGGTTCCTGGCAGAGCACTGCAGGAACAGGACATCAGCACTGTTTGTTGCTCTAGGTATTGTTAGCAGTCTTCGGACACAGATCTGATGGAACTGGTGACACACCAAAAAGGTTATTTTGTTGAAGGTGCACCATATATTAGTGTATTTTAAGTGAAGTTTTTCTCAAATGTCCAGTTTGCAGGAAATAAAAAGGTTTTGTTTGGTTTATTTGAAATGGCTAAGAATTTAAATGAAAACCAAACTGGAAGCCTCTGCTGTGTGAAAATCCCACTTGTGGCCAGTCTCATGGAGATACTGATGGTACAAATTGCAGAGTTGTTAAAGGACAATCTTAAGTGTTGCCTGCAACTGTGAAATACATTTTGGACATCTGTTCCTTGCAGGAGAGGCATTGGCCTGTCTCTACCAGAGCAGGCTTCTTTCTGCAATCAAATACATGAGAACTCTTGTCCCCTCATTAATTCTTCCACCTGCAAAGCAACGCACTCCATTTGCAGGTCCTTTTTACATATCTTGGGCAGCCATTCCTCTAGAAGCTGCTTCTTTGTGCCCCTTTATGTGGATACATTTGGATTATCTCACAAGATAGAAAATACTCCGAAGGTGGTTGGCTTCACCTGGGCTTGTCATCAACACTAGTCAAGTGCAAACATTAATCAAATTAGAGGTTCATTCCAGCCAGGTGTAAGGTCAAGCAAAATTACATAGCTGGAAACTGAGAATGACCTTGAGTCATTTAAACTTAAATTGTAATTCCAGGACAAACTTAACAACAGGTTCTTCCTTAGCTGCCCTGTCACCTTTTACCTTGAGTTTTTAAGATGTCTCATCCATTAAAAAATGAATCTAATTTGCACTTACACTGTGACTTGTTGTGTTCCCTTCCAGCGCAAGGGAAGTGCCTCGGGTGTCACCAGCAGTGGTTTTGTTTGAAGTTCAAAGTAATTCCTGCACTCCTGACCCTTCTTTCCATTGCACCTTCTAAGCACCCTGTCCTGTCACATGTTGACCAGTTCTTCCTTCCAGGCAGCTATTCATGAAGGTTTTTAGAAACCCTTGTATTGTGTTTGCATGGTAAGTTTTTGGTTAGGGGAAGGGACAGCAGGGCTGGCTTCTGTGAGAAGCTGCTAGAAGCTTCCCCAGTGTCCAATAGCTGAGCCAGTGACAGTGGTAGCACCTCTGGGATAATATATTTAAAAAGGAGAAAATGTTACTGTGCAGAAGCAATTGCAGCTAGAAGAGAGGATTGAGAATACGTGAGACCAGCAGCCATGCAGGTACCAAGGTCAATGCAGAAGGAGGGGTAGGAGGTGCTCCAGGCACCAGAGCAGATATTCCCTTGCAGCACATGGTGCAGACCGTGACAAGGCAGGCTGTGCCCCTGCAGCACATGGAGGTCCACAGTGGAGCAGATCTTCACCTACAGGCAGGAGAGGACCCCACACTGGAGCAGGGGGATACCCAAAGGAGGCTGTGACCCCATGGGAAGCCTGTGCTCCTGGCAGGACCCATGGCCCCATGGAGAGAGGAGCCCGCACTGGAGCAGGTTTGTTGCAGGACTGGTAACCCCCATGGGGGACCCATGCTGGACAGTGGAAGAGCATGAGGAGCCCTCCTCTGAGGAGTAAGGAGTGGCAGAGACAATATGTGATGGAACTGTCCACAGCCCCCATTCCTTGTCCCCGTTCACTGCTGGGCAGAGAATTTGGACTTGAAGCTGAGTCTGGGAAGAAAGGAGGGGTGAGGGGAAGGCATCTTGAAGATTTGGGTTTATTTTCCATTACTCCTACTCTGATTTAATTGGTAATAAATTAAACTAATTTCCCCAAGTCAAGTCTGGTTTGCCCATGATGGTAATTGGTGACTGATCTCTCCCTGTCTTTATCTCAAACTGTGGGATGAGCTTTTCATTATATTTTCTTTCCCCTGTCCAGCTGAGGAGGGGGAGTGATAGAGCAGCTTTGGTAGGCACCTGGCATCCTGCCAGGATCAACCCACCACACCCCCTTACTAGCTTTCCTACATTTTATATTTAATAACATTAAAAACTATGTGCTCTATAGCAGTCCTCTCAGGTTTTCCATATGTAGCCGATTTCCTCTTGGGTAGCATAAATGGCTTTCTAATAGTGAAGATGACAGACATGATAACGACACATTTTGACCAAGCATCTCTCTCACCATTTGGTGTCAGCTTCTGGGGCTCCAAATGTGACATCCCCCCTGTTGCTGAGGAATGAGAGA